GGGTGGCGTGAATCACACAGAATCACAGCATCACAGAATTGTAGGGGATTCTATGAGACAAAAATCTCATAGTATCATAGAATCACCAGGGTTGGAAAAGACCTAAAAGATCATCCAGTCCAACCGTTCATGTATTACCAATAGCTGCCACTAAACCACGTCCCTCAACACAACTTCCAGCCTTTCTTTGAACACCCCCAGGGTCGGTGACTCCACCACCTCCCTGGGCAGTCCATTCCAGTGCCTGACCACCCTTTCTGAAAAGTAATACTTCCTGATGTCCAGCCTGAATCTCCCCTGCTGTAGCTTGAAACCATTCCCTCTGGTCCTATCACTGATGACACGAGAGAAGAGGCCGACCCCCAGCTCACTACAACCTCCCTTCAGGAGTTTATAGAGAGCAGTGAGGTGTCCCCTGAGCCTCCTCTTCTCCAGGCTGAACATTCCCAGCTCCTTCAGCCTCTCTTCATATGACCTGTGTTCCAGACCCCGCACCAGCTTTGTTGCCCTCCTTTGAACACGTTCCAGGGCCTCAATGTCTTTCAGTTAGGGTTAGGGTAGGGTTAGGGTTAGGGTTAGTGAGGGGCCCAAAACTGGACACAATACTCGAGGTGTGGCCTCACCAGTGCTGAGTACAGGGGGATGATCACCTCTGTTCCTGCTTGCAACACCGTTCCTGATGCAGGCCAGGCTGCCATTGCCCTTCCTGGCCACCTGGGCACACTGTCGGCTCATGTTCAGCCGAGCATCAATCAATACCCCCAGGTCCATTTCCTCTATGCAGTCCTCCAGCCACACCGCCCCAAGCCTGTAGCGTCGCCTGGGGTTGTTGTAGCCGAAGTGCAGGACCCGGCATTTGGCCTTGTTGAAACTCATCCCATTGGCTTCAGCCCAGCTCTCCAGCCTGTCCAGATCCCTCTGTAGGGCCTCGCTACCCCCAGGCAGATCCACACTTCCAGCCAATTTGGTGTCATCTGCAAATTTAGTGAGGGTGCACTCAATGCCCTCATCCAGGTCATCAATAAAGATATTGAAGAGGACAGGCCCCAGCACCGACCCCTGGGGAACACCACTCATGACCAGTCACCAGCTGGATTTGACTCCATTCACCACCACTCTCTGAGCCCGGCCCTCCAGCCGGCTCCTCACCCAGCCGAGAGTGTATCCATCCAAGCCTCGGGCTGCCAGGTTCTGCAGGAAAATGCTGTGGGAGACAGTGTCAAAGGCTTTGCTGAAGTCTAGGTAGACCACATCAACAGCCTTTCCCTCATCCACCAGATGGGTCACTAGATCATAGAAGGAGATCAGGTTGGTCAAGCAGGACCTGCCCTTCATGAACCCATGCTGGCTAGGCCTGATCCCCCGGTCACCCTGCACATGCCGCATGATCTCCCTCAAGACAATCTGCTCCATAACCTTCCCTGGCACCAAGGTCAGGCTAACAGGCCTGTAGTTCCCCGGATCCTCCTTACGACCTTTCTTATAAATGGGAGTCACGTTGGCAAGCCTCCAGCCTTCTGGGACCTCACCAGTGCACAAGGAGTGCTGACAGATGATGGAAAGCGGCTCGGCTGTCACCTCCGCCAGTTCCCTCAGCACTCTCGGGTGGATCTCATCTGGCCCCATCGACTTGTGACAGTCCAGCTGGAGCAGTAGGTCTCTGACTGTTTCTTCCAGAATCACAGGGGGGTTAGTGCGCTCCCCAGCCGAGATTACCAGGTCAGAGAGAGGAGTATCCTGAGGATAACTGGTCTGACTTTTAAAGACAGACATAAAGAAGGCATTCAGAACCTCTGCCTTTTCCTTATCCTCAGTGGTCACATTCCCAGCCTCATCCAGCAAAGAGTGGATATTCTCCTTTTTCCTCCTCTTACTGTTTATGTATTTATAAAAGAGTTTCTTATTCCTTTTCACCCCAGCGGCTAGGTTAAATTCAAGCTGGGCTTTTGCCTTTCTGATTTCACCTCTACACATCCTAACGACTTCCTTGTATTCATTCTGAGTGGCCTGTCCCTCTTTCCACAGGCGGTAGATCCTCTTTTTCTCCCGGAGCCTCAAGAATAGCTCCCTATTCATCCACGCCGGTCTTCTTCCCCGCCGGCTCATTTTGCAGCTCAGGAGGACTGCCTGCTCCTGCGCCCTTAAGACTTCCTTCTTGAAGAGCAACCAGCTCTCTTGGACCCCTTTACTCGCTAAGACTGAATGCCAGGGGACTCCCCCTATTAGTCCATTGAACAATTCAAAGTCTGCCCTCCTGAAGTCCAAGGTAGCAGTTTTACTATTCCCCCTCCAGGCTCCACCATGAATCGAGAAATCTATCATTTCATGATCACTCTGTGCAAGACAGCCTCCAACCTCCACATCTCCCACCAAACCTTCCCTGTTTGTGAACAGCAGGTCTAGTGGGGCAGTTCCTCTCGTGGGCTCTCTGACCAGCTGCGTCAGGAAGTTGTCCTCTATGATTCCAGAAACCTCCTAGACTGCTGCTTCTGTGCTGTGCTGTACTCCCAGCATATGTCAGGGAAGTTAAAGTCCCCCATGAGGACAAGGGCAGGCGACTGTGCAGCTCGTGCCAGCTGCTTATAGAATACCTCATCTGTCTCTTCATCCTGGTTTGGAGGTCTATAACAGACGCCCACCAGGTGCCTGTCTTGTCAGCCCTTCCTCTGATCTTTACCCACAGGGATTCAACGTTATCGTCCCCAGTCACAATCTCAGTAGCATAAAAGCATTCCCTAACGTAGAGAGCCACACCACCACCCTGCCTTCCTTGCCTATCCTTCCTGAAGAGTTTGTAGCCATCCATTGCAGCGCTCCGGTCGTGGGAGCAATCCCACCGCGTTTCCGTTATGGCAACTAGGTCATAGTTTGTCTACTGAACAATGGCTTCCAACTCTTCTTGCTTGTTGCCCATGCTGCGTGCGTTAGTGTAGACGCACCTCAGCTGAGCCCCTCGCCTCTCATCTCATGCCAATACCACTTCCCCAGGCTCTGGTATCATCTTCCTCCCGCTACGGATGTATTTTAAAACACACTTTTTGATACCTGTCTCCCACAGTACGGGCCCCCTTCAACTCCAGGTGAGCTTTGCCCACGTGAATATTTCTCCTACAGAGGTGAACAGCGTGTCTGTAGTTCACTGCTGTCACCTGACCTTACTTCCATTTGCTAGACACTGATTTTCCACCCCAGCTCTACAAGATCAAGCCAAACCCATCCCTTGCCCCGCTTCCGTGACTTCTGACATATGGCATTTGCCAGTTGCCCCACTCTTCAAAAAGAGATGGTGCTTGAAAAGGGTCCAGCGCTCATTAATGGAACCCTACCAAATAATTGAGCGAATGATGAAGGCATCAAAGTGTTCAAACGGAACCGTTTTATCTGTTCCACTTCGCTGTTTTGATTTTGTAAATGCCAGTACAGAGTAAGCTGAGCGAGTTGACAGCTTTGCAGCAGAGTGACCAAAAGAGCTGTGCAGGAACACGGCTGCTTTTTTTTCCTGCTCAAAACTAATAGTGTTTCTGTATGAAATGGAGCCTTCTCGTGGGCCAGAGATTTAGCGCTGCTGTTTGGTGCGCATCATTGGGGAAACACTTCACTTGGAACGGGTTGACAGTTGAGAACGGACAGCATGTTTGCTATTGCTTCTTCTGTCATCATGTGGGTGGCTTGAACTGTTGCAGTTCCAATATGTGGGGTTATGATGGCGTTATTTAATTTCAACAAAGGATGATTTCTGCAAGAAACAGCAAGGACAGCGTATTACACCCGCAAGAAGCAGAAAGAACAGCATGGATATCACACGTTCAGTTAATTCTTCTGCTAGTTGCTGAGGTCAGAAGCTCAGGAAACAGCAAAGGCATTGATACGAAGGGGCCACGTACACAGGATTGGCAGAAAACGTTGGTTGCTTACCCATTTCTCCATCCTCTCTACTGGCCTCGGTGCCTTGCTTGGCACTCATGTTGTCTCGACAATGTGGAAGGCAGAATAGTTGGTCATCAGCTTAGGATTGCACAAGATAAAATGTGGATATGCCCTTAAACAACTCCCCGCAGAGATCAAGGTCATGAGTACACGTTTGCTCAGCATTTTACAAGTTCACGAGTAATAGAATGAATGCAAGTCATTCTACCTTGGCAGAGGCTCAGGGTATGTCACATCCAGAGCAGCAGCCTTAATAGTCTTATTCTGGAGAGCTTCCACCAGTGCGTCTTGATCAATAACTGCACCTGCATTGAAATGGTATCTTTCTTCCAAAACAAGGCAGTGAACACATTTTCACTGGGAGTGGGGAAATGTGTCAGGGCCCTGGGGGAAATAAATTGAAGGATCTACGTCTTGTTAGAAAGTAGAATGTCTTTCTAGTAACCATCAATCAAACAAAAGAAAGAGAGACTTTATTAGCCTTCACCACGGAGCCAGAACCACTTCTGGGAGAAATGCCTACCTCGGCTGATGTTTATAAGAGTGGCTGTGGGTTTCATCAGTCCCAGCTCCTTTTTCCCAATCAGTTTTTCAGTCTCAGGTGTCAGGTTCACAACCAGCATAACAAAGTCAGATTGCTGCAGCAAATCTTCCATCTGACTGTAGCAAGCACCAACAGCCTGCTCTTCCTCCTTGCTCCTGAATGGAAAATGCACACCTAGTTTGACATGACTCTTCTGAACTGTTTTTAACAGTCAACAAATCAGTCAGTTGATCCTAAGCATCGTCTCAATCAGCATAGATATTAAGAGGTTTGAAGCCAGGATAAAGGAAGAGACATTGCTATGTAACCGGGGAATTATAGAATCATAGAAAGGCCTGGGTTGAAAATGACCACAATGATCATCCAGTTTCAACCGCCCTGAGTCCCAAGAGTCTCTGTCCAACCCCCACGCAGGTTGCCCAGAGCCACATCCAGCCTGATCTTGAATGCCTCCAGGAATGGGGCATCCACAACCTGTTCCAGTGTGTCACCACCCTCTGTGTGAGTCAAAATGGCAGAAGGGAGGAGAGAAGGTAGTGGTTTAGAGAGGCCAAGAGAGCAGAGGAGTGGCAGGACCCTGGAGGATTGACATAAATGTGAAAGCAAACCACACAGGTGGTGTTAGGTATAGGAGGATGGGTATGCAGAAGGTCTCTCATTATTCTCTCCTGCTGATGTATCTGTACAGCGCCACCACCACCTCTCTCTGCCTGACTTGCCGGTTAGAACTTACAATGGAAAAGGAAGGAAGGGGAAGCAAAGAAAGGGAAAGATAAAACCAAGTGAGGATCTTTGCCATCAAGGTGATGAGTGAACTGGCTGGGCTGAAGAAAGGAGTGACAGCCTGGATGACTAGGGACCTTGCCAGAAGCCTGAGAGAAGACTGGTAGGACAAAGTCTGGCTTGCTTGGCTTACATCTTCAGAAAAGTTAGCGTCACCCTTCCTCTAAACCTGCCAATAGCTGAGAAGGGAGGAATGAAGATGGGGAGGTGAATGGGAGCTGCTTCCCAAGGGAAGAAGCTGGGAACCAAGGAGAGCAGTGGCGGTGATCCTTGTGTTGCTTAAAACTGTTGCCAGCACCTAGGAAGAACAGGGACCCAGGCCAGAGCTGTGGTTTCCATTTCTGCCCCTGGACTGGTTCCACACAGTAAACAAACATTTTTACCTGCGGTTCCTGTTGTGGTACAGGATCTTCATTTCAAAGGCTCTGGCTCTCTGAGCCACTTTATACCCAATTCTGCCCATCCCAATGATCCCAAGAGTCGCCCTGGTAACTTCAACTCCCAGCCAGTCAGCAGCAAAATAGTTCGTGTCTGGAGAAACTGCTATCTGGAAGCCTGAATGGAAAAACATGCTAAACAGGTATGAACTGATGACAATTTCTGGTCAAAACAGAGAGGAAAAGTTTCTCACTGTCGTAGTTGGTTTCTGGAATGCCCACTACAGAACATCCTAAATAATTTTAAGGCGGTGGGGGTGGCTGCTTTTTAGAAAGTCCTGGACAGTGTAACAGACAGGACTGGAAGCAGTGACACAGAAGAGATTCTTGATGGTGGTATTCTGCTGAGAGGGATTACTACCTTAGGGAAATAATGCTTCTGTGTCTGCAGCATTTTCTTTGAAATTCAAAAACAGCTTCTGGGGCATTTACCCACCACAAGCACTGCCTTCACTTTATTTTTTCTGTGCCAGCAGTAAAACTCCCTGTCTATCTCCTATCTCAACCAATCCAGTCATACCACTTGAAGGGGGTGAAGTTATACTGCAGAGTCTAGCTTGGCCAGCAATGCCATTAAACCTTTATAATGTTGGATTTCAACTTAATAAAAGAAAGTCTAACCTCTACTGCTGTACAACCAACATCTGCCTCCAGCACAATGGGCCAGTGTAATAAATTAGGAGGCATTACTTTTGGAGCAGCACTCAACATGCTCTCATAATTTCTGCTCCAGCAATGGGGACGTGGCCATCTCTAGATGCTGTGTACCTTTGGACAACTATTAGAAAATACAGAGGAAGGAAACAGAAAAGCAGTGACATTGTATTTGGATGCATTTCACATTCAGTTTTCCAGCCACAAGCAATGCTAAGTGAGCACCCAGATAGAACTACACCCCACACATTATTCTAAGCAGGTGTCATGATGACTTCAAAGCACATCATTGAGACAAATGTCTTACTCTTGTCACTGTTGCCTTGAGAAGAGGTGGGACTGAGACAAATAGAGGCCTCTGAGAAGAGAGTTTCTCAGAGCACTTTTTTCTTGCAAAAGTATCCCAACTACTGATTCTGACAGACCCTCTCTAATACAGCAAGGTGAGATATGCCAAAGAAGCAGATAAGATCGAATGAGATGTAAAACATTACCTTCCACAAGTCTTCTGGCAGACGCCAGCATTAGGGCCATTCCCATGTCTGCTGTTGAGTCAGCAACAGCGTGTGGGGTATTAGTCACTTTTACACCAAAGTTAGAAATCATTTTCAAGTTTAAGTGATCCACTCCAACACCAGAGTTTCCAATGACCTTTAAATTAGGCAGGCTTTCTAGAAGCTCCCGGTCGATAGTTGGCCTGGACTCCGACACAAAAATGGATTGGATTTTTTTCCCCATTTCTTTTTTGTTTTCAAGAAGTTCTTTCATGGTGATAACGCAGAAGTGTTTCTTCAGAAGCGCCACAAGGCTTTCTTGCACACCATGAGTTCCTCCAACATCCATAATCAAAAGACCTGGCAACTCCTGTTCTGACATGACCTGCAGTGGAGGAACAGAAGAAGCACGCTGCTGTTTAGGAGAACGTCACTCAAGCAGTGATGGTGTGGCCACCATTTAAATTCACACCTGTGAATCAGGAAATCAGTGGCACTCCATAGTCCTTTTAATGATACAGCACAAATTCACAGTCACCTGGGACTAGCGTGGCCTTACGTTAGAAAATGGTCCGATATCTCCATTAAGCAGCAGATTATGCTGTAACACTGAGGTACAGTCACCTTCTTGGATCTAAATCCAGTTCAGAACCTACAAGGTGCTCTCAGATAGCTTCATTTCAGTCCAGAAACTCTACCGCTTTCATACTAATCTGGCAGCTTCTTAACCTAACTCACAAACTGATGTATCACAAAGGGTGCTACATAACTGCTGCTAGGAAGTTACTCCAAGTTGCTTGCCTGTGAGTTATGTTTGGTGAAGCTGCAGGCGGTGTTGGGAGCCAGAGGTCCAGACAGGTCTGACAAACCTACCTGACCTGGAATGGGTGAGGTCTAAAAAAACCTGCCCAATGAAGGACCGTTCTTGTACAGCTACTACACTGCTTGCTCTCACTGTTTTAAACTGCTGCATCCGAATGTATAGCCTCTGAAGTTTAGCATTACACGTCAGTCTTTTGCAATCCATGCCTTCAGGCTGAACCAGTGGGGAGGAGTGCTAAAGGTGACAGGCTAAGGCCCTCCAGCAACACAGCCCTTCACACCAGAGTGTTCCCCTTGCCCAGGCAGTTTTAAGCCCGCTCCTGCCTGCAACAGCCCACTCAAATCTATCATATTCTGCAATAAGACAAAGGCTGCTCACATAGCCACGTATGCAACTTGAGGGGTGAAACTGCAGCCCTTGCAATCATGGCCCTCATTGACAAAAATGGCACCAGAAGACTTGCTACTTATCTTACGAATATTCCGGTCTGATTTCCTATGATTCTGTTTCTTGCACTCCACTCACACATCTGGGTCTTTGTCCCAAATACTGTACCCTAGATTTGGGTTGTGCTGAATGAATCTGCACCTCTCTTCCACCACAGCAGTATTCTGATTAATTCCAGGCATGCCGTGCAGGCAGAACTTTCCTGCTGTTCCTGTCCTCTCATGCAAGCCTTCAGAATTCAGCTCTGGGACAAACAACTTACTGTAAGTTTCTGAAAGGCTGTGATTACCCTTCTCCTGAGCAAACTCAAACTCAATCCAGCTGCATCTATTAAATGATTACAGTCTCAACAACTGTCACATATATTTATATGCCATTATTTATTGCCATAAGCTGAAGTCTTTTGAAATCTATTGGCCCCAGGTGGTAGGGAAAATACTGCCTATATTCCCATTTGTAGTCTGTTTATTTCTTGGAGTATCACACAACATGACCCTAGAAGGAAAAATTAGATTCCTGGAAAGAATACGCAGATGGAAAGGCAAGACAACGTATTTGTGACAGTGTTATTCAGCATCTCCATCACCAGGACTTGGTGGTACTTCAGCAACTGTGATGGAACTGCAGCTAAACCTTCTGCAGTTACACGACAGAAAACTGCCTGGACAATGGATACGATCAAGTGACTAAGACAAACAAGTAAGACAGGACTGTATTACACCATTTGCCTTCTTCACCGTGGTGACAGCATCACCGTCATTGCGACGCTCAGAGTCAGACCCACATTTATTTTAGAAGCACCTTCTAAACTTCACAAACAGAAAGACAGTTCATGGGGAAGCCACAGAGCAGCACAGCAAGAGTTAATTTAGCTTTAAACAGTTCAGTTTGTCCACAAAAAAAAAAAAAAAAAAAAAAAAAAAAAAGGCTAAGTAATTACTCTGCTCATTACTGTGGACAGAAAAAATTTACAATTTCAGCCACATTCGATGTGCACAGGAACTGTTTGCAGTGTTGCTTCAAGAGCAAGGCTTCTGCAAGTACAAAGTGTGATCTTAAAAAATTATATTGCTAGCAACAGCATAAATACAGTTAAAGGAACCCTGCAAAGGGAAGGAGGCTTTCCAGATACTAACCTTGGTTTGAGGAGCGCGCAGTGCTCTCATGGACCACTATCTGTGCTTGTCTTGTACCTCTGTCTAAAAGCCACGCTTTTCCTGTCACACCAAAGTCCGTAACAAGGGACAGCTGGATGAATACCTTTGCAAGCCAAATTTGTCTGGTCAACCATCAAATGAATAGATTTTAACAAATCCAATGCTTGCTCCTGAGCATAATTGTTCAGATGTTGGATGTCCTGTCTGATATGCTAAATGTATCACCTGTTAAGGATATGACAACTTTGATTTTCTCTCTCCACATTTTCTCTCCGCATGAAACGATCTGTGTGTACATCCACAACCACTTGTAACACATTAACAGACTGTATGTATACTGATATTGAGTCCTTGCACTGAAAATTTTGAATATGTGACCCACATTGAGACAAATAGGCAAATAAACAGACCTGCTCATAGCTATTAACTTCAGTGCTGGTGCTTTCCTAAACTAGCCTTCTTTCTTTCGTGGAGCTTGACTCACTACTTACTTACTTTCATAGCCACTGACTGGCACTGCTGTATCACTTTGGACTCAGCCACATCATAGCAAAATAAACCTCCACGTTTTTCCCTACCTTTGTTTTAAACTGAAGTTAATAATGTACATCACCCAGAATAAACTCCTCCCACTTACTTATCTACAGCAGAAAACTGAATAATAACCAAAGAATTAGCCTGGAACGGTTCCTCACTGTTGATGTTTCTTTTACCAACAGAGCTCACCGCTCCTGGAGGAATCAGCAGCATGTGATTTCCTCGTGGGTGCAACACAGTCCCTACTACCTGCTGCAACCTCCCAGTCAAGGCCAATGGCATGTGACTCAGCCGCTGGTGCCAGAACCTCCTCTCATAGAAATTTGAGCCATCCACTGCTACAAGCACTTGCTTAACTCTTGCTCTCTCTGACTGTTTTTGTCTGGAGGACAAAGGACTGCTAAAGTCTCTGAAAGCTTTCAGTGAAAACCATTGCAAGTGGCAGAAAACACAGCATGACATGCAGAAGGGTGGAGGATCACTCCTTCATGGCCTCTGCAGGGCCATGTGAAGCAAAACTTACTTCCTCTCACTTTCCTGAAAATTGAGGAAGGCCTTCTAGAGGACATCCCACGAAATACTGTAGAACAAGGGCTTTTGTACAGTATTGTTTTTGCTTTTTTTTTTTTAATTACACAATCCTGTGGCATAGGAACTTGATACAAACTTCACCAACTTTCCTGGGATTATTGCCCAAAACAGTAGTGCAGGTTTTTGTGGATTCTGTTTAAAATAGGCTTTTTTTTTTTTTCACTGTCTGCTGCAAGCTAACATTTTGAAAGAACATACAATGTACTGGTGTGACTTTGAGGAAGCAAAAAGATCAGCCTGTGTCACAGTTTTATGAATTTTGTTATCAGTGTTCCACATCACAGCATCCTGTAGTGCACTGGGAGTTAAAGAGTTAATGCTCCAGTTCCAAGGATCGTGGAAAGTTTCCAGGCGCCCTTCGCAGATGAGAACTACATCTCCCAGAAGACTTTGCTATTCCATTCCATTTTCCGTTCAGAGGGAAAGATGGAAGTGCTTGGGAGTCACGAGACGGCCCTTCTTCTACTGCTCATCACTGCGGTGCGTGCTGCCCAGCCACCTGGCCTTCAGCATTACAGTAAGTAATGCCTTTGGTTCTGGGCGCTCATTTATCAGCTTCAATTCCAATGGCATTACATTGCCTTATCACGCTTTCTGCTATCATAGTTAGTAAATTAGTTTTCTCCCTTAGCTCGTCGCTGTTTTGTTTTCAGGCCCATCTCCCCACCTTTTCACTCTCCCCCTCACCCCTATCTTGGGCCACGGGTCCCATCCAGTTACGGAACCGGGCCGAAGCGGGTCAGAGCCGTGACAGCCCGGAACGGCCCATCTCAGCAGTCAATTCAATTGTGAAACCCAGCACCGGCAAGGGAAGCATCCTGGTTTAATTATGGAAATGGCATCCCGAATATTTACCCCGGGGTGTTCAGCCACCGTCCTTTCAGCCGCCCCGCCGATTTCCGCTGCCGCCCAGCCCCTCCCCTCGGCCGGCCTCACAGCCCCACGCTGCGGATGACGCGTGCGTGACGCGCCGGCCGCCGGCAGCACGGGCGGCACAACACGCTCGCCCAGCCGGGCACGCTCTGCCCGCGGGGAAACGTCCAGCGCTCCAGGCCCCAGCACACGGGCGGGCCGCTTAGCGGGCGAGAAGGGGCTTCGGGGACACCGAGCGATCAGCCCCTCGCCTTTGCACCGGCAGCGTCTGCCCGGCCCGAACCGGCAAGAAACTCCCACGGGCGCCGCCGTAGCCCCCCCACCCGCGCTGCCTTCAGCTCCTCCGCCGCGTCCTACACGACTACAGCCTGCGCCCCACCAGCCCCAACGCGTGCGACTGCTGCGGTGCAAACAGCCCAGCCCATTCCATTTTATTCTATTCCATCCCATCCCATTCCCCCCTCTCCTCTCCCCGCCCCTCGGAAGAAACCGCGCCCCCCGACCCCGCAGTGGCGGCAGCAGAGCGGAAGTTGCTGTCGCTTAGACTTGCGTCATTTCCGCTGCGCCTCGGGCGGTCTCCGCGCGGCTGGGTCCCGCCTAGAGAAGGCCGAGAAGGACGCGGCGGGGGCCCCCGGGTGCGGAGGGTGACGCGGCCCGAGCCGGGGGCTGCGGGGTACCGGTGCGGGAGGGGCGGCGGCCGGAGCGCGCGGGCCGGCCGGGCTTTCGTCTCAGCCGCCGGCCGCTCCTTGTCGTCCCACAGGCCGCCGCCGCGCGCCCGCCCGCCCGCCAGGATGTCGTACATGCTGCCTCATCTCCACAACGGCTGGCAGGTGGACCAGGCCATCCTGTCGGAGGAGGATCGAGTGGTGGTCATCCGCTTCGGGCACGATTGGGATCCGACATGCATGAAAATGGATGAGGTTTTGTACAGCATCGCCGAGAAGGTAAGGCGGAGACGAGGAGACGCCTTCTGCGCGCGCCGAGCGTTCTGCGCGCCGTAAGGCGGGCCCCAATCTGGCTTCTGGGGACGCGAGCTCGCGGGAAAGCCGTTTGGTGCGCTTTCGCGAGCGTCTCCCGAAGCCTCCGCCCGCCCCGGTCTTTGTGGCGATTGATGTGCCGCAAAGCACTGCGAGCTCCGAACCCGGACCCGTTCCCATTGCGTCGTTTCGTGGATGTCAGCGTTCAGACAGAGGCAGTGCTGGGCTGTAGGACTGCTGTGAGTGAGCTTCACAGTAGGAACACGTAAAATCACAGGACATCCCCGGCTGGGAAGGGACCCGCGGGGATCATTGAGCCCGAGTCCTGGCTCCGTGCAAGGCACACACCTGCAGTTAAATACTGAGATGGGGTTGTGTCACGATTCGATGCAGTCCTTTTGTGTTTAATGCGACAGAAGCACATTATGCTCAGCACTTCTACAGAGAGAGTAAAAGTTCACTTACACAGGTGTTTCTACTAGAAAAACTACAGAATGCTAAGATGCTGCTATTTCATGCTACACTTTACATTTAGAGTAGCACCAATATTGTCTGTACTTAGGTGGGCTTTTGCTCTTTCTTTGTATTTATTTGAACCTCGTTGAGGAAAAAGAAGCTAGCACACCATATGAAAACACAAAGTAGATTGTTTTCCCTGAACTGTACCCTCTTACAGTTCACCGATTTTTTTATTTTATTTTATTTTATTTTCCCTGAGTTATACATGAAAAAGAAGCAAGATTTCACTGGGTTTACGAAGAAATAGCTGTAAGATGTTAGGTTGAAACCGAGCTACAGCAAAAATGTAGGAGTTGAATTTCACAAAGATAATTCATGTTCCAGACAGCCTCCCAAGATTTTTCCAAGTGTGGCTTGCAGGCTCTTGTGTATGGCTGGTGAAAATATGTAGCTAATGATGATGACTATGCTGAAGAACAGTGTTCCTGAGTGTTCTGTAGCTGAGAATTTGCTCTACCAACTAGTGTTATTTTTCACTCTGTCTCTGTTGTAGTTTCTATGGAGACAAACAGGTGATGTAACTTTTGGAGTGACCTACGCACATCTTGCCTTGCTGTGAAAGTGGGTCATGTCAGTGAATAGCTTCTTTTGGGAAACTGCTGGTTCCGGGAGGATTTTTCAGATGTTTTGCATTTACTTAACTGTAGTCAAGCATGAGTAGCTGTGCTTTTTTTTTTGCTCAAGCCTTAGTTGTGCCACTGCCTTTCTACTAAGATTACAGGAAAAGTGAAAGGAAAGCTAATCCATTTACTTATCATAGACTCACCAAATGGTTTGGGTTGGAAGGAACCTTTAAGATCTATTTCCAACCCCCCTGCTATAGGCAGGAACACTTCCTACTCGACCTTGTTGCTCAAAGCCTCATCCAGCCCGGCCCTGAATACTTCCAAGGAGGGGCTTCCTCAACCATGCTGGGCCCTCACAGTAAAAAATATCTTCCTGATATCTTGTCTGAATCTTCCCTCTTCCAGTTTAAAGCTCACTTCGTGCCCTTACGAGGGTATGAAGTCCCTCCCCAGCTTTCCTGTAGGCCCCCGTCAGGTACCGGAAGGCCATTATAATGCCCCCCTGGAGCCTTGTCTTCTCCAGACTGAAAAGCCCCAACTCTCTCGGCCTGTCCTTGTAGGGGAGCTGTTCCAGCTCTGTGATTATCTTTGCAGCCCTCCTATGGACCCACTCCAACAACTTCATGTCCTTCTTGTGCTGAGGCACCGGAGCTGGGCTTTCATAACAGTAGAGTAGAAGGGCAGAATCGCCTCTCCCTACTGCTGGTCATGCTTCTCTTCATTCAACCCATGGTACGATTGGCCTTCTTAGCTGCAAGTGTACATTTCCAGCTTGTGTCGAGTCTTTGTCATCTGGCATCCCCAAGTCCTTATCCTCGGGGCTGCACTCAAGCTGTTCTCTGCCCACCCTGTACCTGTGCGTGGGATTGCCCTGAGCCAGGCGCAGGACCTTGCCTTGTCTTTGTAGAGCTTGAAGAGGCTGGCATAGGCCCACCCCTCAACTGTCCAGGTCCCTCTGGATGGCATCTCTTCCTTCTAGTGTGTCAGCTGCACCACTCAGCTTGATGTTGTCTCCAAACTTGCTGAGGGTGCACTTGATCCAAGTGCCCATGTTGCCTATGAAGATGTTAAATAGCACTGGTCCCAGCACCGACCCTTGAGGAACACCACTCATCACCAGTCTCCACTTGGACATTGAGCCACTGACCACAACTCCCTGTGTGCAAGCATCCATCCAGTTCCTTATCCAGTGAGTGGTCCATCCATCAAATCCATTTTTCTCCAATTTGGTGACCAGGATGTTATGCAAGACGGTGTCAAATGCTTTGCACAAGTGCAGGTAGATGACATCAGTTGCTCTTTATCCACTGATGCTGTAGCTCCATCATAAAAGACCACCAAGATTGTCAGGCATGATTTGTCCTTGATGAAGCCATGTTGGTTACCACCAATCACCTCATCTTTATTTTCCTTAGTAGGTCTTTGCCAGGCACAGAGGTGAGGCTGATTGGCCTGTAGTTGCTTGGATCTTCTTTATTTCCCTTCTTGAAAACGGGAATAGTGTTTCCCCTCCTCCAAACAGTGGGAGCTTCACCACACTGCCATGACCTTTCAAATATGATGGAAAGTGGCTTGGCAACTTCATCCGCCAGTTCCCTCAGGACCGTGGATGGATCTCATTGGGTCCCATAGTTGCACAATGCACTTTTAGGTCCTTTAGATGATCTCGTACCTGATCTTCACTTACAGTGGGCAGATGTTCCTTCTCCCAGTTCTTAACCTTTGCTTTCTGCAACTTGGGCGATGCGGCCGATGTTGAAAACTGAGGCAGAGAAGTCACTGAGTACCTTTCTCCCCTTGTGACCAGATCTCTATTTTCCTTCCAGAGAGGGCCCACATCTTCTGTAGCCTTCCTTTTATTGTTGATATACCTGTAGAGATCCTTATTCTTCCCCTTTATGTCCCTGGCTAGATTTAATTCTGTCTGGGTTTTAGCTTTCCTGACCTATCTCTGGCTGTTCAAACAACTTCTTTGTAGTCATCTCAGGTAACCCATTCTTGCTTCCACTTCCTACAGACTTTTTTTTTCACCGAATTAAGTCCAGGAGTCCCTTGTTCATCCACAGGGGCCTCCTGGTGTTCTTGTCCATCTTCCTCGGGATGCAGTGTTCTGGACTTGCAGGGCATGGTCCTTGAATATTGATCAGCTTTCTTGGACCCCTCTTCCCTCCAGGGCTTTATCCCATGTCACCGTTCCACACAGAAGAAGTGGAAGCCCAGAGCAGCAACCTTGCTGAACGTCTTCTTTGAAGCCCTAGGGATCTTCAACTCCACCATTTCATGAACTGTGCAGCCAAGGCTGCCCTCGAGCTTCACATTACTCACCAGCCCCTCCTTGCTGGTGAGGGCAGATTTCAATGTAGCACCTTTTCTTGTGGATTCCTTTACCACTTGGAAGAGGAAATCGTTGTCAAGCATTTCAGAAATCTCTATGATTTCTGATGCTCTGCTGTGTTGTCCTTCTAACAGATATCAGGGTGGCTGAAGTCTCCCATGAGAACCATGTTTTGTGAATGCAAAGCCACTCCTGTCTGTTTATAGAGGGCCTCATTCACTCAGTCTTCCTGGTCAGGCTGCCTATAGCAGACCCCACTACGATGTCTCCTTCCCTTGCCTTCACTTTGACCCTAACCCATAAGCTCTGTGTCAGCTCCTCATCCATCCCCAGATGGAGCTCCGTGGAATCCAGCTGGCCATTGCTGTAGAGGTTGACACCCCCTCTTTCTTCCCTGTCTTTCCTAAAGAGTTTATACCCATCTATTTCTACATTCCAATCATGAGCCATCCTGCCACATCTCAGTGATGCCAGTGACAGCATAGCCCAGTGTAGTGGAAATGCTAAGTCACAACTTGACACAGTGATTGAGCACCTGGTGGGAAGGCAGGGTCAACCCAGGGGAGCCTGCCTACCTGAGGCCTTCCAGAGGTAAGCAGACTTTCTTCCTTCATTTCTGCATCCACAGCTGTTGCATCTGGGCTGGTCCTCGTTTGCTGCAGCTGAAGACTTTGCCTCCCTGTTCTTCTTGCTGTACTTTTCATGGCATCACAGTGTTACACTTTGTAGGCACGCTCACGTTTGTAACTGCTCCTGCTTGTTCCTCATGCTCTCTACCTCTCAGAAGAGAATCACCCCCCACTGTCACCCATTGCTTTTTCTTAGTTGTGGTAGTTAAGCAACAGGGAGCTGGTCTGGCTGCCTTACTCAGTTCTGAGGGCTTACCTGTTAACTGTTTCTTTCTCAGTCTGTAGAACTGAGAAGCAGTTTTGCAGAGGCACCTCAGGCCTTGAGGCAGGCTTCTTCCTTCTGTTAGTCACCCTGTTGTCGGTTCCACTTCTTTAGGTGAGCAGCTCTTTTATTCACACGTAGGAGAGAAGGATTCAGTTAATGTCTAAGGTACGTGGATTGTGGTGGTAACCTGTGTGTGTGCAAAGGCGATTTGAGTGAAACGGCCCCTTGAAGTGAGTTTCCCTAAATGACTTGGCTAAGACTTGCACGAGATACCTAAGTTTCAGAAGGTAAGCTACAGCATTCCTGAGCTGTGATTCTGGTTTCTAAAATGGAAACTTCAGATTACTTTCTGAAACCCACCTTTTGCCCCCTCAGGCTAACCAGAACCTGAACCCACCAGTGGGTTCTTAGTAGAACTGTTCATTTTGTACATCCTCTTAAGTTTCTTAGATATCTTTCATGTGAAATAGAAATGGCCACGAATGGCTCCAGGTAGAAAACAAGAATGCAAAGCTATTTTCTTTCAGGGTTTAAGACAATAGCTGTGAAAGGAGAGTGCTGCACCATCGTCTGGTTGATCCTGTGTGATTTGTGCATGGCCAGGCCCCCTAGCTGGCAAGAGCCTCTGCCATGGTAGGATGTGGGCTTCATTACGAGCTGTCCTGGCTGCACTCTGAGTGGCTGCACGTGGTCCACGGGTTGCACGTGCCTGACATATTGCTTTTGTATTTTCTTTTTCCTTCTCCTCAGGTAAAGAACTTTGCTGTTATTTATCTTGTGGATATCACTGAAGTACCAGACTTCAACAAGATGTATGAGTTGTATGATCCCTGCACAGTCATGTTTTTCTTCAGGTACACGGTGGTTCTAGAATATAATGAACTGAATGTGTTTTAGTAGGACTACAGCTCCATCTCAGCATACTGGTGGTTATATAGCCGTTGTTCCAGAAAAGTGTAGACTCTTGGCAGGGAGTGTAACAACAGGACAAGGGGTAATAATTTTAAAATGAAGTAGTAGGTTTAGCTGAGATGTTAGAAGGAAATTCTTTACTCAGAGAGTAGTGAGGGGCTGGTTTATCAAAGGAGGTGTGGGTGCACCATCCCTGGAGGTGTTCAAGGCTGGGCTGGATGCAGTCTGGGGCAACCTGATCTAGGGGTAAGCAGCCCTGCCCACAGCAAGGGGGTTGGAACTTTCTCTGGGGCTTCTTTGCAAACCTTTTCCTGTTTGAACATTTATTTTGAAACCTACAAAGGGAGATTGATTCTTGAAGGGGGGGATTGATGAAGGTTTGAGGTTCTGGGGGAGGCGTGGATGGGGGTGGATTTTTTTATCTCTTTTTTTCAATTATTGTTGTGCTATTAACCTGTCTGTTTTCTTTTCTCCATTTAAAGGAACAAACACATCATGATTGATTTAGGTACAGGTAATAACAACAAGATCAACTGGGCAATGGAAGATAAACAAGAGATGATTGACATTATAGAAACTGTTTACAGAGGAGCCCGCAAAGGTCGAGGTTTAGTGGTATCACCAAAAGATTATTCTACTAAATACAGATACTGACATTTCGTTGGGGCTGTGCTTTTCTTTTGTAACCCTTTCTCCACTTAAATTTATTTTTCTGTATGTGTCTACATACATATGCATATTAAAAAAGAAATAATCAGTCTTTCGGTGTTGAGCGTGTTGTTGATTATTTAAAAACTTTGGATTCCATTTGGAAAAGGAAAGGACACAGAGCCTCAAACTGTATGACTGCAGCAGGGCTGGGGCTTTGTTCAGGTGTTGTTCTTTCAGACTTTACTTTCAGGACTTTTGGTATGATGTATTTTTGTACAAAAAAAGCCTGTTTGTAGAAAAACATCTCAGCTGTCTGTTTACTTCTGTGTTGTGCTTTAATGCAGCAGGTGGCTAAGTGCCCCACGGTTGTTTCCAGTCATTCCCAGTAGGAGGGCAGAGAGAATTAAGAAAAAAAACAAACTCTGCAACACTGCTTAGCAGCAGCTGTAGGCATCAGTGTGTTACTGACATTGTTTTTCTCCTAGCACCAAAACCCACCATCATACCAGGCACTCTGAAGAAAACAGTTCTGTCCCAGCTGAAACTGAGACATTTTGCTACACAAAAAGCTGGGAAAACTACAACATAAGTTTTTTTCAGGTTTTTTTTTTTTTTTTTCTAAAGAATAAAACAAGTTCCACTTATTTGCCTTAATGTTCTTTAAAGTTGGGAATGAAAACAGATGTTATTAGATGCGAAATCATAACCTTGTAGAGAAAGGGTTTTAACTTTTTTTTTCAGGATTTTCTTGCATAGCATCTTGGTCTTTGTATACAGTGAGAAATAGGAATTTATGAGGGTGTATGTATTAATATTTAAGGAAACTAAATTAAAACATCTGTGATTCACAGCTAACCTTTAGGAAATCCAATTGGGTGTGATGATGGAGATTATTTTTCATGGTGATTATTCAGTTTGAAATACTTTGTAGTGGACAGAGTAGTTCCAAAAGGTAATAATGGAGCTGGCTGCACAGTCAGTGCTTGAAGGGGAAACTTCTCCCTGTAGTGTGAGCTCCAGTTTATCAAACGGCGGAGCAAAATGTTAATATGCTCATGAGACTTGGATTGGTGCTGTGTTTGTATGGCTTTTGAAGTTTCACATGCATTTCTGGTGATGTCTGCTTTGCAGTAGTGGCCCCAGTGCTGTTTTGTTTTGGTTTTTTGTTTGTTTTCTAACTGATACATGCATGTTTATGGAACTAACAGAAAGGAAGTCAGACTGTGCAGAAGGAGGTACCTGTTTTTTAAGACCAGTTTGTCACAAGACCGAGTATCCAAAATAGAAGCTGCTTTGATGGTGCTGTTGCTAGGAATATATTGCCCACGCAGACCATCCTTCATCGGACAAAATGGGAGTCAGAAGGCACCAAATTGGGACTGTGTGGTGGGTATGGCAGGACAGTCCAGCCAATACTGGCAGTGTGCTCCATAGTCTAACTGGTGTGGGGCCTGGAGTTAACCTGTGTTACAGGAGGAAAACTGTCCTGTTGTCTGTCCTGACTCTGGAGATTTGAGCCTTCAGCTTAGCATCACGATGTAGTGGTCAGAATTGATGGTTTGTCCCTGTTTCAGGAAATGCAGAAGGGTCACCACTTTCCTATCTCAAAAGACTGCACGCCACTTTACTTACTGAGCACTGTGTCTTGACATTTTTCTTCAAGGGGAATTCACATGTAGCCATCCCAAGGATTGCTGTTCTGACTGTAACTCACAGATGTGGCACCATGTCTCATCACAGGTAATGATGCAAATGAGGAAAGTGTCACTTTCAGCCTTATATTGGTTCAGTAGGTGCAGACGAACTTGCATACAGCCTTTTTTCTGTTCCTGTTGAACATTTGTGGGACCCAGTGCAAACTGTGCAGTATTCCAGCATTGTTACCACAGTTTCCAGCGTACTGAAGTTAATATTCAGTTCTGTACACAATTCTCTGGTTATAATCTGCCAATTTGTGTGGATGAGCTGATTGTCACGCTTTGTTTTGTGGTGTGACAACTGTGCATGGCCATCCAGACCATGGCAGTCATTCATGTTGCTGTCACCACTGCCAAAACTCACCACCACTGCCTCACTGTGTCGCACCCACTGTTTGGTCTCCAGAAACATTCAGCAAACATCCATGAACGTCAGTTGGTGCTGTTTTTCCACATGGAGGAATTCAGTGACACACCTTTGCTTCGTCTGCACTTCCACGTCAGATGCTTGTTGTCAGACTGCCCTGCTGCCTTCTGTCACACAGCAACAAAACGTAATGGAATATTGGCAGAAAGGTAGAAAGTTCAACTTCTACTGCCATACCACCAACATCCACCTCTGGCATCATGTAGTAAAACGAGGCATTACTTTCAGAGCAGCCTTGTAATTCAATTCCTTTATGTGACATCGAGTAGGAAGTCTAGTTATTTTCATAGTTACTTCCATGAAACTGATTAAAAAAGCTGTTACCAATTGAGCACATACAATTCATTAACTACTTATTTGCCTGTTCTGTATTGCCAGTTGTTTGAAGGCGTATTTGTAAGAACAAAGGTTTTTTTACTTCCTATCTTCCCAGCACTGACCTGCAGTGTGATCTGGATCAATTTGGATTTCTGGATCTGGATTTATGCAACGAGTTGCTGCGTGTTAACCATGCATGTGTTGGTGATGACATAAACCACTTCAACATGTGGGTGTCAACGTCTGGGAGAGGTTGCTTCTGAAATAATTTTAGAAACTGATTTGGGTTATCACTGAACAGTGTGTTTCAGTGCAGTGCATAACAGGGTTAGTCTGTATTTATCCTCAGTTGCTGTACAGGCCTTACCTTCATATGTCTGATCAGTTAAAGCAGAAGTAGATTGCACTTTGCTTTTAATTTTTAGAGAATTCAGAAGGTGCAAAGGATGACTGTGAGTGAATAAAGCATGCTGCATGTTCCCAATGTTTGTTTTATGGTGGAAGGCACCGCTTAAAGTCTGGTCTAGTCTCCCAGTCAAAGTAGGTCTTGCTTGGCTTGCCTAAGCCTTTGGGCAGTGTTGAATACCTACATGGATTGAGATTCCTGGGTCTTTCTGGAGAGGCACATCCCTCACAGTTGGAAAGTGTTCCAGCTGGAATATCCTCTGCCTCTCCCTTGTGTCTAGTCTCCCCCCTTTTCCTGCAAACCTACTTGCCAGTCATCCAACTCCTCACAGCTGAGCTGTGGCACAAGCTTATTGTCCTCGAGGTGAGATCTGCCTCTTTGAACTTCATGAGGTTCTTGTCAATCAGTTTATCTGAAAAGCAGCCAACTTCTCCTCCTGGTTTGACCGTGCTTGCATATCTACACTGCTTAAAGCATTGATGAGAATTAGATTTCGATATGGACCAAGTAATTTGTAGTAGACACTAAGCATTAACAAATGCCAGTTTTAAAAACACATCTTTCATTAGGTGAAGTGTTCTGTTTGGCTGGTAGCTCTTCAGTTTCTGCGTACATTGAAAGAGATTTCTTGAGTTCCCACCAAAATATTCCCTGCCTAAAGTTCTGGGGTTTTTTTGGCGTATAAAAACAACCACTGGTTGTTAGCTTTTAGTTCGTTGAAACATCCTTTTAGCTAGGATAAATTTATCAACCTCTCAAATGTTACTCATTTTATTTCACCTGAGCCAGGGCAATCCCAAAAATGAATACTGGCTTGGTGATCATTGGACTGAGAGCAGCCCTATGGGGAAGGTCTTGGGGGTGCTGAATGAAAAACTCAGCGTGTGCTTGCAGCCCAAGAGGCCAATGGTATCCTGGGCTGCGTGACAAGGGGTGGCCAGCAGGATGGGGGCCGTTTGTCCCCCTCTGCTCACCCTAATGAGGTCCTACGGGGAGCATCATGTTCAGGTCTGGAGCCCACAGCACAAGAAACGTGGAGGTGTTGGAATGCATTCTGAAGGATGATCAGAGAGCTGAAACATCTATGGAGTCAGGTTGAGAAAGCTGGATTTGTCCAATCTGGAGGAGGCTCTGTGCAGACCTTATAGTGATCTACATGAAGGGCACCTATAAGAAAGCTGGGGAGGGACTCCTGATCAGGGCTTCTGGCCATAGGACAATGGCAACAGCTTTAAGCTAAAAGAAAGAGGGCAGATTTAGATCAGATATTGTGAAGAAAATCTTTAATACAATCTTTACTCACAGGGCGGTGAGGCACTGGCACAGGCTGCCCAGAGAAGCTGTGGATACCCCAACCCTGGAAGTGCTAAAGGCTGGGGGTGGATGGGGCTGTGTGCAACCTGACATGGGGGGAAGCGTACCTGCCCACGGGAGGGGGCTGGAATATTTAGAAGGGTGGGTATGTAAACACAAGATACTCTGGGATTCTACTACCATAGAAATAACTGTATTCTGTGGAAGTACTATCACTATTTTAGCTTAAAGTTGTTCATGTTCAGTGGACCTATTCATAAAAGCTTTGCAAAGGCGTTTTCATAGTAACATCAAGTAAATTAGCTATGGTGTATTTTCAGCAGGGGTGGATGAACGTTCCAATCCAGGAAATGTAAATAACAAAACAGCACACACAGCTGCAGAAGTATCTCCACAGGTATTCTGAGAACACATAAAAAGGCAACAAAGAAGTGTGATGGAAATTTTAATGTCAGTAATATGAAATACACTTGTTACATTGAAAAAGTTTGTGACCGGGTAAGCTCACTACTGTATCGGACAGTTTTTTATCCGTATTTTTTTTCCTCCCCTGAGACTAATGGTTTATTCCCAATTATAGGAAATAGTGTCCCATTTACATGAATAAACCTAGCTTTCTACTCCTTTCCTGGGACAATAATTCAAAGGAAAAGAAAAATGGAGATTCTATCACGACGTGATGCAAGTGTATTTGTTTTCACTGATGGTTTTTGTGAGTAGAGATGCTGACTGTAAGCGATGACACGAGTCAGTGCAGAGCTGTTCTCCCCTTATCTTTCTCGCTCACATGCTTATTTCAGTGCTGTAAAGAAACAGTGAAAAAGTAGTGGTTAAACTATGCATGGACGTGATTCAGCGTAAAATAGGAAGATCTCTATACACTTTAATACACTTTCAACAGATTGCCTTCTATTTTTGTAAAAAATAATGACACAGCTTATCCTCAGGAAAAGAGCAGAATGAACAGACGCCTGAATTACTTCAGCATAATTAGAAACATTCCTGTCTTTTGCTGAGTAAGCAGTCTCTGTCAGTTTAAACAAGGAAAGCTTGCAAGAAGAGCAAGAAGGAAACACAAACGCCTACCTCGTGATGTGTAATAAATATCGACAGCATCTGTGGGATCGTTTCAACACACAGTGATGTGCAATCACGTAGGGTACCCACGCATCCCATGATCACTGCTTGTATCTCCTAACAATACTTGCCACTTCAACCCTGCATCTCAGTGCCACAAGGATGAATCATTGCTCTGGTCTGGGCAAAGGTGTTTATGAGGTGTGTTCTGAGCCACAAGAGGAGGCTGTAGCAGTTTTTAAAAGTAATATACATAAACTGAGAGCAGAGAGAATCCTCAGCCTATCCTGTTAGTATAGTCGAGGGAGACGAGCAGCAGACAGGAGCACTTTAAGCCACACATACTTTCTTACAGATATGCAGCCTGTTTACATATTTAGTTTGCACAACCCCTTAGATTCGTGAGACAGCTGGAACAGAAGCAGCAGGCTGTAGTTCTGGCTCTTCTGAAGAAGTGGTAGCATTTTTTGGCTCTTGGCAAAAATAGATCCAGGGTAAGTTTAGATATTTAAAATAAATCCTCAGTATATATTAAAACCAAAGCAAGGTATGATAAAAAATAGAAACTATTCTGAACTAAGCAGCAACATTAAAAACAAAAAACAAGAGAACTGAAGGTTTTTTTTTACTCTCAATCCATCATCAGTGTTCTCTATTCCAGCCTCTGCCATTAGGTCAGCAACGTGCTTCTCAAGGTCACTGATGCGCTCACCCATTTCTTCCAGTAAAAAGTTAAAGAGAACTTTTACAAGTAAGAATTGTTATCATTGTACGTTTTTTTCTCCTGTGAGAAAAATACAAAGCTTTCTTTCAGATGCTTCAGCCTTTTACTTACGTTCAACACTAACAGTATGAATCTCACAGTTGTAGCACAAGACTGTATGACAACAAGGCAATCCTAATTTCTCTTACAACACTGAAGCATTCAAGTTCTAATTTACAAACGGCTTCCTATGTGCCCACGAGTGCACTGGACTATTTTGTGTGTAAAATACTGTCTCTGCTCAGTGAACTATTTTAGTGATAGCACTCGGTCAACATGTATAATCAGAAAGCAGTCAGAATATAACTGCTGATGAACATCAATTTTAGCATTAATTATCTCCGAGGAAGCAAAGTCCTGAAAGCGGGGATGTGCCCGTGTCAGAAAAAGCACAGAACGTGCCAATTCTGCAGATTCAGAAAGCAGAGAGAGCTCCTGTTCACCACACCTAGCAAGGACAGACGCTTAGAGCTCACTGTCATTTGCAGGCTCCCCTTCCCATGCTCACGGCCCGCAAAGAGTTGTTTCTGACCCACAGACAGGCACTTTTAAATATGCCTTCAGAGCAGTTCCACAAAATGCGTTGCTTACTTTACTTGAAACGTAGAACTGCTGTACAGAAACCAGTGGGATTCACAGTGCTGTTGGTAAAAGCTTTTTTAGGCTTTCTTTATAAGTAAAGGAAAAAGATGAGCAGTGTTGGGAGCCACTGCAGCTGACTTTACATCATAGGTGTTTAAGAACGTCAGTCATTACATCTCCATTTGAAGATCAGGGAATAAAAGAAAAAAAAGCAGAAAAAAGAAGAAACACCTTGATTTAAGTAAGCAAAAAACCACTTTGCATCTGTTGGCAGCGCACAGCAGGGAAAGCAAAACCAAACGTGTGGAGGAACCGCAGCTCCTGCAGTTACAGAGCTTCCGTCACAGGAGCGATAACCTGGATCTACTTTTTTTTTTTTTTTTTTTTTTTTTTTAAGGATATTTCTCAGCGTTATCCTTTCCGTCAGAGCTTGAAAATTCTCCTGCAGCCGATACAGCAGATTTTCCGCCTACGGAAACAACAGAATGCGACGATAGGGAGACCGCTGCCGACCGCTGCCCACCCTCCCGACAGCGCCCGCCACCCTTTACCTCCCACCCGGCTGAGGGGAAAGCTCCAAGAGCGGCGAGCCGCGGAGCCCCCGAGCCCCGCCTGCGGCAGGGCGAAGCCTGAGCTCACCAGCTGCGAGAGGCGCTCAGCGCCCGGCGCCTCCCCGGCCGCCATCGGCGCTGCGTTCAGGTGGGTCGCGAGGCGGCGAAGGACGGAAGCCGCCCCGCCTGGCGGGACGCCGAGTCCAGCTGGCGCTGCCGCGGGAGCGGCTCGGCCCGAGGACGGCGGTCGCCGCGATATCGGGCGGCTCCCCGCCGGAGCGCTGCCAATTCGCGACCGTGCGCTGCCCGTCGCGAGGCTGCCGTGCCGACGGACGGCGGCGCGGGAGGAGTTGGCACGGGCGCGCCGGTCGCGTGGGAAACATGGAGGCGGCTCGGCTGCTGTTTGCCTGCCGAATTGCTGGCGTCACCGCCGCGACTGAGAGCGGGACGGCCGTCCTTCCCTGGCGGCTGTCGGGCTGCGCTCGGCTGTGTCCGCGCTCAGAGCTGCACTGAGTGGCGCTGGGAGGACGGCCGGCTGAGCGCCCAGGGGCAAGGCCGGGAGAGGTGCGTTCCGTGTCCAGTCACTGGTGGAGCACTGGAGGTACGGCTGGTGGTTCTGCACGTGGTTCTTGGCCCAGATCTTGAAAAGTATGGTGGAACTTACAGTCTCACAGGTGTTTGTATGCTCTCTAAGCAACTGCTGATTAAAGCATCATTTAATAACCTACCTTTGCTTTGGTTATTAAGGTTTGATCTTCAGGGGTCTTAGAATTACACCTGACTTAAGTGATAAACGAACAAAAATGTCTGCCGACCAACAAGGCCGAAGCTGTTTTGTTTGTTTTTAAGTTTCTTTTTTCTCTTGTAATTAGCTTCATAATAGAGTGGTACAAATACCTGCTCTTGTGTGAATGTACTGTGCCTGCATTTCTAAGCAGAGGACCAAAAGCATCAGCAGGAATTGCATCCTGCCAACATGTAGGCCATCCGCAGCTTTCAGCTTTGCAGCATCAAAAGCTCCTGGTACATCTGCTGCAAAGATCTCTGTAGTAACACCGCATAACAGTGCCTGTGCAGTTAGAAGAATTACTGTGAGGCAATAGCTTCCCTTAGTCTACTGCTTTGCAGATACAACAAGCATGTAGTATTGCTTTTATCCATAAGTTTATCTCCTGAGCTAATAACCTCAAGTGCTGGAAAGGTTATCTCTTGTCCGTCTACCACTTCGTATCTTTCTTCATAAACATAATTGTTTTTCCTCTTTATTTTCTCCTACCTGATTTAGGAAGGGGTGAAAACCCATGTGGAGAGATGCTGGCATCAGAGCAGACCTTCCCATTGCTGCCTGCTTCTTGTAATCATGGCATCTCTTCTGTGCATCCTCGTATTCTCCCTCTTGCAGATTTTCCTACTTGTTTTCTTCCTGAATCAAGAAAAGGAAGAAAAATCAGTCTGAGTAATTTAGCAAAGTATGCCCCTTCCCTGGAAGCAAGCATTCAATGCCAAGCTTGGGAGATGGGGCTTTGGGCAATTTGATTTTGTGGGACGTGTCCCTGCCAACAGCAGGAATTTGAAACTAGATGATCTTAAAGGTCCTTTCCAACCCTAACCATTCTATGATTCTGTGTTGATATGCTCTGCTTTTGTATATAGACACCAGTTGCATCCATGTAGCTTTTTCATTTTGAGGCAGAGATAATAATAATTGCTGCTTCTTACCTGTTTATTAGTTGCTAACCTTCTTTCACTTAGGAGTAGGTAGTAGAGTTGTATTAGTTCTGCATTATTTTTTTTACTCCTGATAACAGTCTTGCTAGTTTTCCTTCCTGCCCAAATACAGAAGTTTCCCCCTCACGCAGTCATATTTTCTGCTTAAGGCAGTTGAAATGGTTCTGGCTCCTTGGATCCAGATATCTTGAATAAAGCCACAGTGTCCTATTTGTGGTGAAGAGATTGCAGGCATGAAGAAACAGCTGAAAATGTGGAGGAGCAACCAGCACACAACTAACCAGCTAGTGAGAACTGTGCCAAATCTCTGTAGAACAGCAGCTAAGCAGTGGCTAGGTAAGAATCCAATTAGTTCTCCTTATCTGTGAGGTTGGTAGTGTCAGAACGAAAAAAATATGGTGTCAAGCCAGTATAGCAAAGGAAAAAGGGCAATTAAATTACAAAGCAGATTGAAAAATAAAGGAAATATTCACCATCCTTCCACCCCATGCCCTGTTCTAGTTTGGTTCTTCTATTACGTGTTGTCTATAACTAATTGAAATGGCTCTCGTAGTTCAAATATAAAGCTGTATTAGGCTTATAGTACAAAGCTGGTTTTATGGAGTGGAAATGCCAGTATGTCAGGATGATGACACTGATGAGTTATTCTTTAAGGAACTCTCATCCAGATCATCAGTAAAGATATGAAATAGGCCTGGCCCCAGTATAGGCAGGGCAGAAGCTGGCTTGGCCAGACAACTTCTAGAGCTTAGGTGGAAAAACTGTATGGCTGCTGGAAGCAAGGTCAGGTGGCATGAAAGGACTACAGGGATGCTGTTTGTCTTTACAGGGGAAAAAATAGTGCGGCCAAAGGTCAGTTAGAGTTGAAGCTGGCCAATACTGTGGCAGCCAGTTAATCTTTAAATACATTAACAACAAAAGGAAGACCAGAGAGAACGTTGGTTCTTTACGTGATGAGAACGGTCATCTTACAAACAAGGACTAGACAAAGCAGAGACATTTAATGCCTTCTGTGCCTCTGTCTTCAACACTGATGACGGGCTCTGACCTCGAGATGGAGGACTGTGCCTGTAGTAATGATGAACTCCCAGTCAACCGTGACCTTGTGCAGGATTTGCTGTTCCACTTGGGTTTATATTAAGTCCATGGAGCCCAATGGGATTCATCCCAACATACTCTGAGAGCTTTGAGGGACCTCTTGATGATCTTTTAGTGATCTTAGGATGAGAAAGAAGACCCTGATAATTACAGGCCTGTCTGTCACACCTCAGTGCCTGGTAAAATAAGGGAGAAAATTATGCTAGAGTTACTGACAAACACCTGAAGGACAGTGAAGTTGTTGGTCACAGCCAGCATGGGTTCATGACAGGAAGGTCCTGTTTAACTGACTTAATTTGCTTTTATGACAAGATCACCCATCTGGTTGATGAAGGAAAGCCAGCTGATGTTATTTTGCATTTCAGTAGAGCTTTTAATGCTGTTTCCTACAGTGTATTTCTGGGCAAAATGCCCAGCACACAGCTAGAGAAAAACATAATGTGATGGACGAGCGGCTGGCTGACGGGTCGGGCCCAAAGGGTTGTAGTGAGTGGGGTTACATCAGGCTGGCAGCCAGTCACTAGTGAGATTTCCCAGAACTTGATTTTAGGGCCAGTCCTCTTTAAAGTTTTCATAACTTGTATGTAAGACTGGAAGGTGCTTTCAGCAAGTCTGTTGATGATACTAAACTGGGGGAACTGTTGATTCCATCGAGGGTAGAGAGACCTTGCAGAGATATCTAGACAAATCAGAGGGCTAGGCAATCACCAACCACATGAAGTTTAACAAGAGCATGTGCCAGATTCTGCACCTGGAAGAAGCAGCCCTGGCTATTCATACAGACTGAGGGATGCAATGCTGCAGAACAGCCCTGCAGAAAAGGATTTGGGGGTCTTGGTTGGAAACAAGTTGAACAGTATCCAAGAAGGCCAACCAGTTCCTGAGGTGCATCAAGCACAGCACTGCTAGCTGGTTAAGGAAAGTGACTGTCCTAGTTTATGCTGTACTGCACTCATGTGGCCTGATGTGAAGGTTTGGGTGTCACGGTACAAAAAGGACATGAAGGAGGGCTAAAAGATGCTGAAGAGTATGGAGTAGAAAACTGTGAGCAGAAGTTAAACTCCTTTGTTTTGTTCAGCCCAGAGAAGAGAAGAATAAGAAGAGGCCACGTTGTGGCTGACATCTTCCTCATGAAGGGAGCAGAGGGGCAGGTGCTGATCTCTCTCTAGTGAGAGACCAGTGATAGAACCCAAGGGAATGGCATGAAACTGTGACAGAGGAAGTTCAGGATGGATTTGGGAAGGACATCCAGCTGTTGGAGCAGGTCCAGAGGAGGGCCATGAAGATAATCAGAGGGCTTGAGCACCTCCCCTACCAGGACAGGCTGAGAGAGTTGGAGCTCTTCAGCCTGGAGAAGGCTCTGGGGACCTTACAGCAGCCTTCCAGAATCTGAAGGAGGACAACAGGAAAGCTGGGGAGGGACTTTTTATAAAGGCCTGTAATGCCTGGACAAGGGGAAATGGCTTTAAACTGGAAGAGGGTAGATTTAGAGCCTGGATTTAGAGGCTGGATGGGACTTGGAACAACCTGGTCTTCTGGGAGGTGTCCCTGCCTATACCAGAAGGGTTGAAACAAGATGATCTTGAAGGTCCTCTTCACCCCAAACCATTCTGTGATTCTAAGATTCTATGTTTCTGTGATATCAAGAAAACATTCTTCACTGAGAGTGGTTAGGCACTGGAACAGGCTACCCCGGACAGTGGCCTATCACCGAGCCTGCTGGAGTCCAAGAAGTATCTAAGCAATGCTCTCAGACAAATGGTCCAATTTTTGGGTGGTCCGTTGTGGAGGCAGGAGCTGGACTCAGTGATTCTTACTGGTCCTTCCTAACTCCGGCTATCCTATGATTCTATGAAAGTGTTTGCAAAGCTAAAAAAATAGCTATAGGAAAGTTGGGAAAGTTAGAAAAGTTCCAAAGTTCAGAAAACCAAAGAAGAAATGTAAGACAAAAAATTTTTGCTTAGCAGTGATTATATTTAAAATAGCACTCTGCTTTTCCTTGCTATCCACTGTTCTCTTCCTCATTAGAGGCCTTAGTTTTTCAGAGTTTTAACTGCTACATACATTTTCTGTAATCGCGTGGGGACATCCCCCCGCACACCTGAGGTCGCAAATAAAGAATGCCTACTCACAAACACATTGGAGTTAATGAGTTTATTCCCGAATTTCGGATGACATAGCAACATTTGCCTAACGCAGAAGACAAAACCATTTCAGTCCTCAGATTTTAAAATGAATGGACAGAACGACAGACGTGCAGCATCCGTTGCTGCAGCGATCACCTGTGAAGCAGCCCCCCAAAAAATCCCACCGCAACCAAGAACCCACCACCAAAAACCAGCCCCAACTGGGAACAAGCGGCTTCACTGTC